GTCTTCAGAGGGAACACATACTAGAGCCACCAGAGCCACCAGAAGCAAGAAAGAGGCACAGAAGAGCTTTCCCTTGTGGGTGTTAGGCTGCAGAGAGAGAGCTTGGCCCCGCCAGTACCTTGAGCTCAGACTTTACCGCCCACGCTGTGAGGAGTGCATTTTGGTTGTTGGAAGCCAGCAGCCTTGGTGCCCTTTGTTACACAGCTGGAGGAAGCTAATATTTAGTGAGCACTTGTGGGGTTCGTAAGTCTTCATGTGTAAAACAGTAACTCTTCCATAGTCCAGAGACGTTTGTGTTCTTGATTTTTTTTTTTCCCCTGTTGTTCATCATCATTGGCTCACTTTGTACCGTTTGAATATATTCTGTATTTGCCTGTTAGGGGAGAAGGCTCCATGTGCCACATAGAAAGAACTGAGATTTGAGCCATAAGATGCTTTACAGACTTTGCTCCATTCCCTCATTTCAAGACAGGGAGCCAAATCAAAGTGGCTTTACAAATAAAGATACTTATGCCGAAGTTCAGAAGGAGGGCGGGCTCAGCCTCTACCTGGCTAGAGAAGTTGCTAAAGACTTGGGTATTTTTCCTGACTTCTGTAGGCAGGATGAGTCTCACTCCAAGACAAGCATACCCAGAGCTACGCTGTATACTGCAGTGGCTAGAAAGTCTGTGTCCTTGTTCGTGTCTTACAGGTTTCTTTGGTAGGTCTCCTGACAGCCTTTGCAGTCAGTGCCCTTTATCTCTGTGTTTCTTTCTCATCCTTGAGCTGGCCATTACTGAGAAGAAAGGACTTACATCATTTAAGCGCTGAGTCCACTGTGGGGACTCAAACATGCACCTTCCATGTGCTCCATATTAACAACTCCTACCCATCTTTGATAGGTATAATAATCCATTCTAACGATGTCCGTGCCCAAATCCCCAGGACCTGTGAATATGTTCCAAGCCGTGTTGGAAAAATGGCTGTCTGCAGGTGTGATTCCATTAAGGGTTTTGTGACAGGGAGGTTGTCCTGTTGTAAGTTGGCCCAACATAATGACAAGGCTTCCTGTAAGAAAGAAGGAGGCGAAATAGAGTCAGAGGGAAAAGACTCAAGGCCAGAAGCAGAGGTTCACAGATGCCCTTGTCTCACCTCTGCCTCTAAAGGTGGGGGAAGAGGCCTGGTGACTCCAAGAACACAGACAGGCAGCCTTGAGAAGGTGGTGAGGGCAGGAAGTGGGTCTTCAGAGGGAACATAACTCTGCTGGCATCTGAGGCTAGCCCAGTGAGACCCCTGTGGACTTCTAACCCCCAGAACCATAGGAGGATATAAATCTTTGTTGGAAGAAACTTAACTTGTTACATTGTGGCAAACTAGTATCTTCAGTTTGACCCCAGAGTATTTAGGCCTTAAAAAAAAAAAAAAAAGATTTCTTTATTTTATGTATATGAGTGCTCTATTTGCATGTACACCTGCATGCCAGAAGAGAGCATCAGATCACACTATAGATGGTTGTGAGCAACGATGTGGTTGCAGGAATTGAACTTAGGACCTCTGGAAGAGCAGACAGTGCTCTTAACCACCCAGTTCATATAGACCCTTTGTAAAGATTAACCATCTCATGTTTAATTTCAAAATTTTTGTAATAAAAGTATATTCATTAAGCCAGTGAAGTGCTTGCCATGCAAGCGTGGACCCGAGTTCAGCCCCCAGAACCCATGTCAAAATGGATATGGTGGCACATGCCTGCAATCCCAACTCTGAGGACAGGAAGGTGGGAGGTTCCCTGGCGGCTCGCTGACCAGCCAGTTTAGCCAAATGGGTGAGCTCCTGGTTCAGTGAGAGACCTCCTCTCAGAAAATAAATTAATTAATAATAAATAAATTAATTAATTAAAAAAACAACACTGCAGAGAAATTGAGGAAGCTAGCTGATGCCAGTCTCTTGTGTATACAGACGTGTCCCTAGGAATAAAGGGAAAAAGAGCCTTTAATTATAAATAATCCCTCATTCAAGGAGTAAGGTCTTGTCCACCCTTGCAGGTGGCCAGGTGCCTAAACCACCCTTTTGTGATTCCATAAATAACTCCCATTGTCAGTTGGGCCACTTCCAGTTGTCTTCTCTGTCTCTGTAGCTCCAGCCAGTTTCCTCCAATTCAAACTCAAACCTGCTGAGGTTTTTTTTTTTTTTTATCCTAGCAAAGGTCAGGAAACCATCAGCTGTTGCTAAACACCTAAACAGATAGATCTATTTTTAGGGTGACGCATAAAGCCGGGATCAGCAACACTGGCTTCTGGGGTTCACCAGGAGTGTCATCTGCCTCCTGCCCCTGTGCCAGGTAGAGAGAGAGAGTGCTGGTAGGAAGTGTTCTTTATGTTGCTTCACTTCCTGTCCTCTCTTGGGTTCCTGTGCCGAGGCACGGTGGTGGGCGCAGGCATCAAGTCCAGAAACTGCTCGGCACCCGCCTCTACATAGCTCGGCCGCTTCCGGAAGCTGTGGGGATGACATAAATCTATGAAAAATAACGGGAAGGCACTGAAATAATAAGACAGAAAAAATGGAGTGGAGCGTAGGTTAGCCCTGGGTAGGGTAGCCCATCACCCAGTTCTCAGTACTGGCTCTGCCAGGACAGGTGCCAACCATGGTCCCAGACTCAAGAGCCAAACTTTGAGAGCTGGTTGAACAAAGCCTTACCACCAATGCCGGTGGGATCTGAGGACATTGGGCTTCCTCTGCCTCTGCTTCTCCCATCATTTTTGTCTGTATAAAGTGCACGTAGCTGACTATGGCTGAATGCACAAGCCTTGAAGATTGTTATTTACTAGTCTTGTAACCTTGGAAAGACTGCTTGAAGTACTTCTGTCTGTGAAACAGGCCAACATTATCAACACACCTGAGACTGTTGTGAGACTTGAGTGATTTAATATGTGAAAACTACTTAGGCTAGTACTTAGAAATTCTAAGCAGCACCCAAGTGACACATAATTCTGTTTTTTAAATAACTGTGCCCTATGGTTCATTTAACTAGATAATTATAATCGGATTTTTTGATGTTGTAAACATTTCAATCATTGTCCTCAGAGGCAAGGAATCGCCATTTTTCTTAATTATTTCCTCAGGTTAAGTTCTCAGTATTAGAGCTGCTGGGTCAAAGAGGCTGTGTTATTTTTAGGGTGTTCCTTGATAGCTGCTACTGGTTCTCCTCCAGGGAAGTCTTAGTCTTCCTTGCAGCAGCAAGTGGGCCAGTATCCTTGTGTGACTGTGCTAGTAAGTACCTTCAATAAAATGAAGGCGGGGGGGGGGAGAGAGAGAGAGAGAGAGAGAGAGAGAGAGAGAGAGAGAGAGAGATCTTTTCCTGGGCATGAAGAGTTCCTTATTCCTCACCTTTGTTCACAAGCAACAACAACAAAAATCCCAAAAACCTGATGGGAGGACGGGTGGAGCATGTGAGAATTGCGCCCTCTAATGGTGAGGCCTGGGAAAGCAAAACACTGAAGACTGGCAGGGGTTTTTTGGGAAGTGTTGTGAGAGGGGTGATGAAGATGTATCACATATATCCGCTGCTGGCCTTGAACTTGCTGTGTGGTTGAAAGCGACTCTGAATTTTTGATCCCCAGCCTCCATCTCTGGAGTGCTAGGATTATTGGTGTGCGTCACCGTGGCAGTTCCATGGTGCCCAAAGGTTTTATCACGCGCTAGGCAAGCACTTGTCCAACTGACCCACATGCTCAGCCCCCAAAGGCACCATGTAGATGCCGAGCCAGCCTTGTGGTTACATTATAGAAATACTAAAATTTTTAAGATAGGGTCTCACTGTGTGGCTCCGCAGGGTCAAAGCTTGCTGTGTAGACCAGGCTGTCCTGCAGCTCACAGGATCTGCAAGTGGGAATGCTACCCATTTGTTTACTTGTTCATTTGTTCGTTTATTCATTTAGGTAGGGCTAGCTCCAGCTGGCTTTGAACTCAGAGCGGACCACTTTCCCCTTCCTCCTGAGTGCTGGGAGGAAATGGCTTGTGCCACCATGCCCAGCTGAACCATTGTTATTTGGTAACCACTCTTTTATTGTATTTGCTTGTAGAGAGCTCGAAGCTTGCAGAATAAGATGGAAAGCAAGGGGGGACTGAGTGAGCAGACACACATTTCTATAGAGAGCACAAAACAACATGTGACACATATAATGTCTTGTGTTTTCGTAAGAGGGATTCTCCCCCCGCCCCCGGTGACTTGGTTAAACCTGCCATAAATTCCTGGGGCTTTCTCTCAGAGGTTTTGTTGGCTAGAAAATGGTGTTTTAGTTGACACTTTCCCCAGCTTCACAAGCTGCATGTCTGTGTTTCCCTGCCATTTTTGGCTGTGCCTTCCAGGGTCCTTATACAGTGCTGATCTGAGGTTGCAGTTGTTCTCCACACATCCCAGTAGATACTCGAGAATTTCTCCAGAAGTGGGGAGGAACAGAAGAACTTCAAAACTACCCTTCCTTAGGAAGGGTGCACCTGAAGGGAAGGAACGAATCTTGGGAAAATCAAACCATGCTTTAGCTTCCTCCCACGTTTGCTGAACTCCAAGATCTCGGTCACCAGTGTCCAATTAAGAAATATTCCATGACTTCATTTGGCTGCAGTTTTAATGCACAATTACACATACCCAGAAAAAAAAAAAAAGTGTGTGTGTGTGTGAACAATCTCAGGAGTCCTTTCTTTCTTTCTTTCCCTCTACCATACATTGAATTCAGGTCACTTGATTTCTGACTCATAACCAGTAGTACAAAATGAGCAGGGAAACTTAGGATAGAAAACATTACATAAGATTACAGTAAGAGTAACCTTAGTTTTGGTGCTGTGCAAACATGCCGCATCACATAGATTTCCATATGTGTGTTTGTATATGTGCCCACGAGCAGTGAGAAGTTCTGAAAGGAGTGGTTTAGGTTCTACGACCGTGTGATGAGACCTGGCTTGCATTTGGTCCTGGATTCCTGCTGGTCCCCTGCCCCTCAAACGGACCTTCTTTGCTCTTCCAGGTGGAACCCGGGAGATTGGCTCAGCACTCACCCGAATGTGCATGCGGCACAGAAGCATCGAGGCCAAGCTGAGGCAGTTCTCCAGGTGAGGAGCTCCCTTTACCCCGACTCCTGAGGGTAGTTAGCTGCTGTATGCTAGGGATGGCCTAGCGCTGTGGTTACAGTGGAGAACCAGCGCCTGCCCTCACGAGCCTGCACTTGCCTTCAGATCACCCATGGGGCCTCCCCACGGTTCTCCCTACCGCCCACCGGTTGTGGAGATGGTGTGCCCTGCTGAGGCCCCCTCCCCTCAGGAGCCTCTTGGAAGGAGTGAGATATGCCTGCCCCTCTGTCCTGTCCCCCAGGCCCACCAAGAGGGAGTGGTCCCTCAGAGCCCTCTTTACTTCCAGTAATCAGGCACCTGGAGGAGGGTGAAATAGCAATGGCCGGCCCAGGGACTTGAAGTCACCGGTCACACACAGATGCGTGTGTGTCACCGGCACATCGGCATAACTGTCCTGCTGTCCTCTCGGAGGGGCTGCACAGAGTACACACGTACCCAGAGGTCTCTTGCCCTCCATCGATTAGAAACTGTCAAGGGCAGCTCGAGACTGTTCCCGCTCTCTCCCGTCTTTATCCAGGTCCAGTCAGTTCTGTTTCTGTGTCTTCATGACCTTGGGGACCCGAGTGCCTGTCAGCACCCTGGGCCCGGTAAAAAGGTATTAATGCTTTCCCCACCCCCTGAATTTTAGAAGGCACAAAGTTAAGCTCTGGTGGCTCTGCCTCTTGGTGCTTTGCATTGTGTGGCCAGAAGGATGACCCCAGGTTTCTGCAGCCTCGCTTTTAATGTGGGCTGGAAGATAAACAGAGTAAATGAGGAAAGAGGTCACTTCAGCCAGGTACATGTACACCATGTTTGGTGGTTGTTTCTGTATTTTCTTTTAATTGGCATTTTTGAGACAGGGTCTCACTAGATATCTCTGGCTAGCCTAGAACTTCCTGGGTGGACCAGGTTGGCATGGAACTCACAGAGCTCCACCTGCCTCTGCTTCTCAGTTGCTGGGATTAACGGTGTAAAGGCGTGAGTCGTCACCCAGCTAACATTTATAGCTCCTTAATCATCATCTAAAGTACTCAGCGGGGTCATGCTGAAGCTGGGACTTCAGGCAATGGGGTTCATTATGCTGCCGTTACTTGCTTCAGGGACATGATTTAAGTATGTCTTGAACACTAAGTGTAAATCCTTTGGGGCGTCTTGCCGTGTAGGTCAAGCTGGCCTCAAACTTCAGATCCTTCTGTTTCATCCCTGAAGTGCTGGAATTGACAACAGACGAGTGCTGCCACTCCCACAGCCCAGTGTGCATTAAACAGCAAGCACCTGTTTAATCTCTCCTTTTCTTTATCTTCCGGCAAAAGTGCTTTGATTGATTGCCTGATAAACCCACTGCAAGAGCAGATGGAAGAGTGGAAGAAAGTGGCCAACCAGCTGGACAAAGACCATGCGAAAGGTACAGCAAGAGGCCTGGAGTGTTGCTGTGGCAGGTGCTATAGGCCTGGCACCGCTGGGTTTCTCCTGTCACCAAAACAGCTCAGAGCCCTCTCTGGCCCTCCTGTCCTGTAGGCATTTCAGTTTCAGGGGGGAGGGCTCCAAGTGTTCCCACTGCGAGACTGAGTGCTGTTTGGCATGGAAAACCTGGTCTGGCTGCTCTGGTTTCTCGTCACTGGATTTAACTTGAATTGTAGTAGTGGGTTCAGCGCCAAACGTGTCCTTAAGGCACTTCAGAACATTTTGAAGGCCTGGATGCTCAGGACATGAACAAACCTAGGGTCTCCTGCCTTCACTGGCCATTTTCGTTATGAATTGCGCTGGCTAATTGTAGACTTCTTTGGTCGGTCATCGGGGTTCTTGATGGTATGAGAGGGAGGTAGGCGCTATCTGTGGAGGCAAGAACGCTGATAACTCTCAAAGTGATGGTGTGTTATAGTCCCGTCACACGGGCCAGTGGCGTAGTAAGGCCTTGTCCCTTTGTTTAGACCAGTGGTTCATTGGTGGATTAGTTTGGAGATGCAGTCTTTCTACATTGCCTAGGCAGCTCTTAAACTCCCTAGCTCAAATGGTTCTCCTGCCTCAGCTTTCCAGGTGCCACCGCAGATGGCTAATTCTGAGGTTCTTTACTTGCTGGGTGCTGTGGGATGTGTAGAAAGATGGGTGTGGTGTCTACTCACACAGCAATCAAGGAGCCCTATGACAAGACACGGCACGGTGAAGGTTACAGCAAAGACAGCCTGTGTGCAGGGAGGGTGGACACGCCATGCAAGGTGGCCCCTAAGGCGGCTGCTGTCTGGTCCCAGGGATGGTTGATTTTGCTTGCTTTAGGCTTCACAATGAAGATTATTCCACATGGCCCGGAGCTGTCTATAATCACTGGGGACTTGAATCCACGAAGATCATTCATCCCTCGAGGCGTTTAGGCACCCAGAGTGATTGAGTCCCCCGTGTCCCGTGTCAGTGCACTCACTGACGCCACAGAATACATAGATCCATCTCAGTGTCTTTAGGTACATGTCCTCCACAGCTAATGACAGGCATTAGTAGGCACGTGCTTCTTTTTGCCAGGAGCCATGTTATGAAGACCATTGGCGAACTTCAGTGGGGCGTTTCCACAAAAGAATGCTGTAGAATCACACGAAGGCTGCATGCACTGAGGAGTTCAAGTTGTGAGCCACCGTGCGGGTGCTGGGAATTCAGCCTGGGTCCCCTGGAAAGAGCAGCTGATCTTTTATTTGCTGAACCATGTTTCTAGTCTGTGGTCCAGCGCCTGTATTTGAAACAATACTTAAGTGTTCAGCTTTTCAGTCAAGGACATGGGCAAATTTTTAGGACTTATTTTCCCACTGCTTGTTAATCAGGTCCTCGGCTGTCTATCTCTTGAGGTTCACACGTGTCCAGCCACAGCTTCACTTGGCGAAAGAAAATAGAAAAATGTGCATGTTACCTTTAGATGGAGAGAGGATTCATGGTTTACATCTGCCTCGTTCACTAAGTGCACAGCAGTGCTAACCATGAAAGAGACATGAATAGTGAGGTGTGAAGCTTGTCTGCAAGTGATTTTTCTGAGCCCCATCATGGGGAGAAATAGCGAAGAGTTTTCCTTGACCTGTGCTGTACAGTAAGGCGAAGTCCCTTGATTGACCCCCAGCATTCTGCTTCCTGCCCATCCAAAGTACACGCAGAGAAACACTGCTCAGTTCCTTTTTTCTTAACACTCCCAATGAAATGGAGACAGTTTATGTCCGAGGACAAATTTAGGCCCTTTATCAGTGTCTGCCTATGTTCCAGATGGCCTCTGTCTGGACAGGCCTCAGGGGCTCGGAATGCCAGCCCCTCTAGGTGTGGTGAGACAGTATGTCCTTCACTTCACCATCAGTGGCCATGGATGCCACTCGCACCCTGCATCTCAGGGTGTGGAAGAGAACAGGGCACCATCAGTGTCCTTGGCAACATGGACATTTCAGGGAGGTGCAGACTGGGGCATGGGGAATCCAGTTCCATCGTGGTGTAGGTGAGCACAAGCAGGTTGAGGAATTAGAAAACAGGGTGTACCCTGTCTCATTGCCGTCAGTGTAGGGCAGTGGGGAGGTGAGCTAAACAGTGAGAAAGCCATTCAGAGAGGCAATGCAGATGTGAGAGACTCAGAACTGTACAGGAAGCCACCCAAAGTAGATCACCCCACCTCAACCTCCATCTGGGCCACCTGCATGGGCTTCCTGCTCCACCAAGAAGATTTGCAGGAAGTGTGTGTGTGTGCGCGCGCGCGCGCGTGTGTGTGTGTGTGTGTGTGTGTGTGTGTGAGCGCGCTCGTGCGTGCGTGTGCATGAATGTCCATGGGTGCACCTATGAAGACCAGAGTTCAATGTCAGGTGTCTTCCTCAACAGCTTTCCATTTATTTTTGGAGAAAGGAGATCAGAGTTCAATGTCAGGTGTCTTCCTCAACAGCTTTCCATTTATTTTTGGAGAAAGGTTCTTTTCACTGTAGTGGAGTTTGCCGTTTCGGCTAGGCTGGTGGTCAGTGAGCTCCAGGGATCCACCTGTTTCCTCCCAGCCTCCCTGGGTTACAGGTGCTTGTGGTCACACCTGGCTTTTTACTTTTTGTGGGTGCCAAGGACTAAAACTCAGGTCTTCATGCTTACACAGCAAGCACCTTATCCACTGAGACATCTCCCCAGCCATGCATGTGTGCTCAGACATGCAAGTGGGCTCAGACAGAACTGGGCTTTAGGAAAACTGTTCTGACCCTGGCTTGTTTATGCCTTCAGCAAATGCATCTCAGGATCTCAAGAACATTGAGAAAGTAGGTAACATCCCTGAATTCTAACAGACATAGTGTGTGTATATGTGTGTTTAATTAAAACAATTCCCAATGGCATCTTTTCCTGGTGTAGGCAGGATAGGGAAAGGCTGAGGTGTTTTTTTTCTTGTTTGTCATGTAAACAGCTCCTTTGTCATAAAATGTCACTGTGACTTTTATCATTGTGTATTTGGAGATAGCTGTTTACTGTGTGTCTGAGATTATGCTTTCTAGGATAAAGACTGAACAGAGTCATAAAATGATTCAATATTCTGTTTTCTCTTAGAATATAAGAAAGCTCGCCAAGAGATAAAAAAGAAGTCCTCTGACACGTTGAAACTGCAGAAGAAGGCAAAAAAAGGTAACTGAAAAGTCTGCGATGGTATTGTGACTTTGAGAGCCATCGGAAGTGTGCTACTGTGTGAGCCTGAGCCAGAAGGTGTGTGATTCATAGGCCTCATTAGATAGCGTGTGCCTGGAGAAGGGTGGGGAGGGGGGCCCAAGCCCCACCCACCTGGAATAAAGTTCTCTTTTTTTAGTACTTTATTTTTTTTATGTGTATTGGTGGTTTCCCTTCATGTATGTCTGTGCACCATGTGTGTGCATAGTCCCCATGGAGACCAGAAGAGGGCATTAGATCCCCTGGAACTGTAGACAGCTGTGAGCTTCCATGTCAGTGCTGGGAATTGAACTCAGTTCCTTTGGAAGAGCAGCCAGTGCTCTTCATTAACTTGGAGCTATCTCTTTAGTCCCTGCACTATAGTTCTTAAAGTGCAAGACATGGATGAGTACTAAGCTCATGCCAGGTCGTCTCTGTCCTTTCCCCACCTCTGCCTTCAGAGTCAGGCAGTTTCTTGCCTACCATGCTTTATGATCATAGTAAAAGAAAAGTGCTTGGAAGCCCGGAGATAGTGCGGAGGAGCCTTTATGCAAATGCTCTGTAGTAATTATTACAGAAACGATGTTCACCTTTTCTCCCAGCTTTCACAGCCCATAACCTCTGTAATCTTTTATTAGGGCTTCTGAGTGCATGAGCAGCGGCTGCAGTGGCAGCCTAGAGACCGAGTCTTTGCTGTCTAGGGGATTTTTTTTTTTAACTCTTATTTATGAGTGTGGGGTGAAAGGACTCACCACCAAGGGAAGCCAGACCCTTGTCTCCAGTTCATCAGCCAATGAATTTGTCACATTCAGGAGCCATCTTTGCCTCTGCAGGTTGGCTGGGAAGAGGAAAGGTCTAGCTCTATCTACATTGCAAGCACTTGTAATGTTTCCCAGAGTCTAAAGTATGGGAACTGTTTCTTGAGTAGCAGAAAGCAGCAATTCTTGTTTCCCTATCACCACCCTTTTGTTATTGTTGTTGTATCTCAACTGATAAGAGTGGGGTCTTCTGGTAGATTAGGGGGTTTAAAGGTTGTTTCAAGGCAACCTCTATAGGGAGAGAACCCAGGCCCCAATTTCCTCTTTGCTCAACAGTGTTGAGAAGAAAATGAAACCTATGAAAAGAAAACATATTTCAAGAGGTGAGATGGTAGAGGGCAGTGGTGGGAGGTTGTTAGACAGAGCTTTAGAAGCTTGGGTATTTTTTTAAAGGCCCTTTCCCTTCAATTGTCACAAACACCCTTTGCCCATTTCAGGATGAGTGCAGTTTCAGAGACACTCGAATTTTCTGTCCTTCGTAGATGCGGTGGTTTGTCTGGCATGTGTGTCTCGGGGCTTCTATGTCTCAACTGCAAATTCTCTCTGCTGAGGGCACCCGGGAGCTAGCATCTGACAAGCAACAGGGCTCATAGCCTGTATTAGCTTAGTGAGTCTGCAGGGGGAGGTTGTGGATGAAGGTGCTATCATATTCCGTCACTCTGAGGCCCCCAGGAGAGCAGACTGTCTGCCTGGTTGACATGTTGGCCTCTCTGAAATAGGAATGATGATGGCTTGAAGAGGTGTTCCAGGTGCAATGCCCAGGCTTAGAGAAGGTTTGGGGAGCCCTATTGGAAAGGATAAGGGGAGAAGTAGCTGTTTCCCTCAGCTCTTTAGAATTCTCTTGTCAGAGGCCTCATGTTCACCTAAGCCCTGCATGGAGCTGTGAGGGCTTCGCCTGTCATTCAAAGTCCCTGGCATTGACCAATTAGCAGAATTTGAACCTCTGGGTGCAGACTGATGGCTTGGTTACAGTGTACCATTAAAGGAAGTTGTGGCAATTAGACCTGCCTGGTGCCAGTGCAGGCTTCCTGGGCACTAATGAGCTGCACATCCAGGTACAGAGGATGATTCAGGACTCAGGATGCTGGGCTGTGCCAAACACAATGCACCTGGCCTTGGGCCTTGGGAATGATTGGCATCAGATGGTAGGGTTTCTTGGGGCATTTGGGCCTGAGGCTGAGACAGTGGAGGCTGGGGGTTCTGAAGGACTGCCTTTAAAATCCCAACTGTGTCCCTCTCCACATCTTCAGAACCAGTGGGCCCAGCTACTTAGAATATTCTGGGTGATTTTCTAGTTACTTCAAGGACAATCAAAACACAAATTTGATTTCGTTATCATTCCCCCCCCCCCCCCCCCGCCCCAAATAGCTAAGTATATGTTTAGACTTAGAGTTGTATGATTGGGGGTAGTACAGCCTTCCGGAAGACTCTGTGGTCACCATTCTGTCCAGATCTTAGATGCTGTCTTAGTAGGTGCCTGACTGGAGAACAGGGTGGAAGGGCTGTTGTTTAAGGGTGGGAGGAAATCTAAGAGTTATCTGGGGTCGGTCCTGATTAACTAGAGCTTTTCAGCTTTCCATCATGTTTTTCAGACTGATCTGTGATCTGTTTTTCTCATGTGCCATCCGAATATTTTAAATGCCTTTGTGCAGGTAGAGCATCCTGGCAGTAGCCTCGTCTTTGGCAGAGGCAGACACTTCATACAGGGTTGTGCCTTGCAAACAGCCGGTGTCCCCCACTTCTTATTCTGCAAACAGAATCGTTTTACCACATTTTTTACATTCAACTCCCCTTTTTCCATAGAGCTTGGTGATTGTTACTCTAAAGGTACTTCAGTATTTCTGCCTCGAACACTTTTAAGTGGTTTGTCTTCTGCTAGATTTTATTCCCACATCATTTTATGGTCTTGGGCTCGCTCTAGCTACGGATAAATGTACCAGGCTTTCTCACTCTCAAAGGCGGGCTTGTCAAGCACTTACAATGTCAGGGACCAGAGAGAGGTGGCTTAACCCTCACCTCTGAGAAGTTCTGGTCTAGGCACTGGGTCAAGGGCATAGGGCAGAGCCAGCTTTCATAAAAAGTAAAGACCAGGCCATGGGAGTTTGGAGAGGTGATGTGGAGCTGGTCAGGGGCCTGGACCTCCGAGTTGGGTAGGTTGACCACACTTCCTGCCCAAGTCTTTGGGATCCCTAACTGTGAGGACCAGGATCAGTCAGACACAGGGTGCTTTAAACTGCTTCCCTACTTTTGACATGTTACTGTATGAAACTAGCATCCTTGGTTCTCATTAATTAACTTTTGTGTTTTATCATTGTTTATATGTATGCATGGGGTGTATGTGCGTGTTTCTAAGTCAAACCCACATTCAGGCAGGTTTTCTGCAGCTCAGCTATATCCACAGCACAGTTTTTTGTTGTTGTTGTTTAAAAAAAATCAAATTAAAATTAAAAAGTTAGTTTGAGAATGTAGCTCAGTAGGAGTGCAATTGGCTAGTATACACAAGGTCCTGGGTTCAGTCCTCAGCACTGTGAAACAATAAAAGTGAAACTAAAGGCTGAGTTATGGTGAGGCCTCTGTTTCTGTCTGTAACCACTCATGGTTTGTCAGGCACCTGACCTGAGAAAGAAAGCTGGAATGTTGATGTTTGCTTTTCAAATAGGTGATTCTTGGTTTTTTTTTGTTTGTTTGTTTGTTTTTGTTTTTTGTTTTTTGTTTTTTTTTTTTGCCAGTATCTACAAAACCATGGTTATAAATGCTGCCGGGTAGGAGTTTGTACGTGCACGGATGTTTAGTATTGTATTAAGAATTTAGGTTTTCCAGGACAGCCAAGGCTACGCAGAGAAACCCTGTCTCGGGCAGGTGCAACTTAGGTTCTTAATTTTTTTCTTTTTCGTCTCACTGTGATGTTAGAACTCTCCAGGTTTTCTACCCTGGAGGTAGGTTATCCTACCCTCCAAGGTAGGATAAATCTCACTTGAAAGTTTTCTTGCTAAGGCACCTAACTCTCCTCTTCTGCGTTTGTATTTTTCTCTCTCTTTAGCAAACTCTTGTCCTCTAGTGGTGGAATTTATCAAGTGAGAAGGCAAGGAGGGATGACAGAGAAGGAAGGAGTGTTGGTCAGGCAGGAAAGGGGAGCTCGAACGTGTAGCTGCTTCTTGAAGACATGGGTCTGATCACAGGCATCTAAGGGTGCCAGCCAGTGGCTGTCACACATGAGCAAGAGGTTAGGCAGGCGCGGCTCGGACACCCATTTGACTCTCTTTTCCTTTCTGTGTCAAATGTGTATCCTGCACCTCCTCACCTGCCAGTGGATGTCCAGGGTAAGTCTGCATCCCGAATCCCCGGTGGCTGGTCACGGTGTGGTCCTCGCTGTGGGCTTTTAACTGTTCAGACCTACTCTAGCTATCCACGTTTTCCTGCTGGCTCAGAATAATCACTTGTGCGTATTTAATTTTCTGTAGCTTTAAAGAAATTGTGTGTGTGTGTTAATCATTTCCCTGCTTAGGCATTTGGCCACTGACACTGTCAGCATCATATTCTGTGAGCTGTTGTGTCTTCATAAGTCAGTTTTAGGTTCCTGGAAGAAAGAAAATGCCAAGTGCTTTAAATGCATCCCTTGCACAAGAAGTCAGTATATCTCTGTACCCATGTGTACATGCTTGAGTAGATATGAACACATTGTTGATTCCATGTGCAAAACAAATGTGATACTAAATACCACCTCAAAACATTCTCAAGTCAGATTTGGCCTTTTAAGCTTGCAGAATATCTGCCCTTGTCTATACATACAATACAGCTCTTCCTAAAGCCAATCATCTTAACAGCAACAACAAAAACAGAAATATTCCTTATTTTGGCAGTTTGTGAAATGTTTCATTTCTAAGGCTTCTTATCTTTAAATTCAGTTCTCAAGGTGATTTTCTTGGTTGAATGTGAACCTTACTGTGAGTGATATGAGAATAAACTGCTTTGGAGTCTCATTTCTGTCATTCCATCTTGGGGATGTGTCATGTCCATGTGGCTCCCTTGCCTGAGTGTCCCTTTGTCCTGCAAGCTCCCAACAAGTGTTTGCGTTGGATTCTGTCATCCACAAGCTCCATCCATGTGGGTCTCCTTTGACAGGTAGGGCTTGGATGGCCTGCTGTTGTTGGGGACACAGTCTTG